GAGCAATAGATGAGAAAAGATAAGACATTCTTATTTTATATTGTAGCTTGTCAATATCTGTAATTTGAGATACTTAATATTTTGACTTTACAAACATCTAATTTGAACCAGTGCTGCATTCAACATACCACGTGACACACAAAAAACAATGTTTATCTTTTTTTTTAAAAATATTTACTTTAAATTATGAAATTGAGCAATGTATAGTTCTAAAATTTGAATTATAATTTACAGTATGATACCAAACTTATTGACATAAATTCATGAAATAGTAGTTAAATAAAATTTTGAATGCTAGTCAACAAATGATATGACATGGCCTTTCACCTGTGACATGTCTAGAAAGGGTTAATCTGCCAAAAAAAGAAATAACTTGGAAGTATGTCATTGAAACAAACTAACAGGAAAAAGTTTTATATGGGGAGGGAACATTTTTCACAACATTAAAAATATAGAGGAAAAACAAAACTTGAAACTAAAGAAAATGTTTTTGAAATCTAAAGTATGTCTCAGCTGAAGGTAGAGCTGCTGCTTAAATGTCTACAACTATAAAAGCATTTCTAAGTCATTACGGAATTTAAAATCAGAACGCTGTTTAAGACAGACATTTTAACAGAAAAAGTGCTAACATTAACAGTAAGGGTACCCAATCAGGGGTGGATTGGCTCAGTGTGCCGGTGCATGTGAAACATTATTTGGCCACTGCTAGTGATATTCGCTGGGATGGCCCTTTAATGCCAATCCACCCTCTGTATCCAACAGGTGAAACCATAGATTTTAATCTGTACAAATATAATAGGAAGTATATTCAATTATTTACACTCATTACCAAAACCAGGTTGAATTTTACCTTCTTACTCTAAGAAGGTAATTGGATCTGACTGGAAGTTAATATTTACATAGTAGTAGTCATGAAGCTGCAGACCATTACCCTATGGTACTCTTTTGAAGCACTGATTTTCTTCAATCCTTTTGCTCCCTTACAGATTTATATAAACAATTTTAACCATTTGATGTACATCTTCATGTAATCATAATTTCTATGTATAAACCTGACACACAAATCTAGGAAACATACTGCAAAGGAAAAAATACTATTCAAATTAATTATGACACAAAGAAGTATTTAGCAACTGTTTTTCTAGAATCCAGCACAAATATTTGCATTTCAGATATTTGTTATCTGAACTATGTAGCTGTCCCTAATGTTGAACCAATTGACTAGAAGGAAGGCAGCTAGTCTGCTTTTCCTAACACCAATTCTTTGGTTACTCTAATCAACTAGTGGGGTTTGACTCTCACTCTTATAATTTGCCACTTGACCTCAAAAGTGAGAAACTTGATTTTTCTTTTCTTTCTAGTAAAGGGACACAAACCAAGGACTCTTGGATACATATTCTCACAGAAAAAAAATAAAAATCAACTTTCCATCCAAATATTAAAGGTAGATTAAAACTCTATTATCTAAGAGTAAAAGTAAAATATGTTTCAGAATGAAACTTTGAAAGATAACATTACCTACACACATTTTCTATTTATGAACTACCAAGTGTAACTTGCAAGTAAATGAAAACCCAAATAAAACCTACTGTCATTAAAATCATGATTCCTTACTAAGCCTAAAATTATGGACACATGTCAGTTACAGTACTTACATATATTTGAATTCTTAGTATAACATAAAGCTTGTACACATTTTTCACTAATTTCTACTGTAGAAGTTTGGTGACTCATACTGTGATTCACACTGTGAATGTAATACCAATATATCAGTACCACTGCATAGCCAAAGACCAAAAGTTCACACTTAAACTCTACTTTAAAGTCTAATAGTTTTTATGTGATACTGATGTTGCTATTGTTAGTGTTACTCAATATACAACAGTATTACAATTTATTACCTTAATAACAATAGCTCTAACAAAGTTTAAGTTTTAACTTAATGATTAAGTTAATCATTAACGTGGTTAAACTAAGTTAATCTGTAAACAAACCATAACAAAATAATGCAAAAACGTCTTAACATATAAAAGTTGTACTTTATAACGAATTACAGAGTTAAGACTTATTAACAATATTATTATTAGTAATACTATTAGTAGTATTACTAACTAATAATACTAGTACTATTATAATATATATATTACTAGGGCTAGGCTAGGTGTGTACTGTACTCTGTTGTCTGTAGTGCAGCCTTGCAGTTGCAAGTTCAACTTCAAGTCT